ATAGCTCGAAATAAATCGAAATTTTTACTAAAATCGATCGAAATTTTTACTTTAAATCAAAATAATTTTTCTGTGTTCCTGAAAACACAACATAAATACCACGTGCTATTCGTTCGTCAACAAAATTTAGGAAAGTCTCTGGCAGGGACGATGATTTTCTGCAAAATACAGAATACTGCAGAATTTGCAGAATTCACTTATTTTTACAGAAATTGGATTTTATCACGGATAATTGCAGAATTAATCCAAATTTTAATCAAATTTCTAGGGATCGTATGTAATTACGTGATGTAGAGCCAATAGAATGGTTATTTTGATCAACCTAGATCAGCCCAATGTCTAAATCGGGAGGAAATTTTACTATAAGACTATATTATCCTAATTTTAAATAATCAAAATTATATAACTGTACACGGCTTTAAACATATCTGATTTTCAGAAGGATAGACAATCAATAAATACAAAATACAAGCATGGTTGTCATGACATTAGTAATTAAAACAAATTTTGTATAGCAATAGAAATTTGTAATGCAGAATTTGCATAAAAATCATAAAAATAGAATTTTTAACACAGAATTTTGCACAAAATCTATTTTGCAGAATATTGCAGAAACTATGAATTAATAACCGCAGAATTTGGGTTTAATTGCTGCAGAAAATCATCGTCCCTGGTACAAAACATTCATTTTTGATACACCTGCACCTACTTTTTTGATACACTTAAATGTGTTCTTACTTTTTTGAAATATGAGGAGATATGATGATTCTAAAAAAATTACGTGACCACCGCATTTAAAATTGACCAATGGGATTGCGAGTAAAATTCTAAAGAAATTTATAAAAAAAGCTTGAAGTTTTTTTAAACGAAACTAATTTTTCTATTATGTTAATATTATCTAAATGCTTAACAAAGATTGTAGAAAAGCAAATTGCAATTCCAACGTTGGTAAGATCATCAAAATTGGCTTAGTATATCATGAGATATGAGTAAAAAAAGTTTTGCGATTCTTCAAAAATTTTTAAGGAACTTTAAAGAATCGCGAAACTTTTTTTACTCATATCTCGCAATATACTAAGCCAATTTTGATGATCTTACTACTATTGGAATCATAATTTACTTCTCTACAATATTTACTAAATGTCCAAGTATGATTGGTATAATAAAAAAATTAGATCTGATTAAAAAAAACTGTAAGTTTTTTATAAAAATCCTTTAGAATCTTACTCACAATTTCATTGGTCAATTTTAAATGCGGCGGTCACGTGACTTTTTTAAAATCGGCATATCTCAAAAAAGTAATAAAATTTTTGGTGTGCATTTAAGGATAGGGTATTTTTTTACTATTTGTTTACGCATAGCATAAAAATAAACCAATCAAAATTTAATGATTTGCAAAATTAACTAATTATAATTGTATATTTGGTTGTATATGCATATTTATTTGTGCATTGCATGAAAAAAACATGTAACAAATACTCTACCCTTAAGTATATCAAAAAAAGTAGATGCAGGTGTATCAAAAATGAATGTTTTGTGTCCCTGGTCTCCGGACACTTGCCAATCACGTGATTTTGCACTTACCGGATATTACGTGATATTTTACATACTTAAGTATCAAAATAGAATTTTTTTAATTGTTTTGGACAAGTTTTCTCATCAACAATCTAATAGAATTCGATGGTGATTTTTTTAAATAAATTATATAAATTAGTAGAATTCATCTAAAAAAATTTCTATCGAATTCTATTGAGTAGTTGTTGAAAAATTTTTATTCAAAGTTTAGGAAAATTCTCACCATTTTTTAAGAAAATAGCCATTATAAAAATTTTCTCAAACTTTAACTGAAAATTTCTCAACAACTATTCAACAGAATTTGATGAAAATTTTTTTAAATGAATTCTATAAATTAGTAGAATTTATTTAAAAAAATTATCATCGAAGTTTATTGAGTAGTTGTCGAGAAATTTTTGTTCAATGTTTGAGAAATTTCCAAGAAAATAGCAGCAAAAGAAAATTTTCTGTACTTTGAAAGAAAATTTTTTAGCAATTGTCTGATAAAATTCGATATAAATTTTTTTAAATGAATTTTTTAAATCAGTAAAATACATTTAAAAAAATTTTCACCGAATTCTGTTAAGTAGTTGTCAGGAAATTTTTAGTAAAGTTTAAGGAAATTTCTATAGTGGTTATTTTCTTAGAAGATAGTGGAAATTTTTTCAAACTTTGAATGAAAATTTCTTGACAACTACTTGATAGAATTCAATAGAGATTTTTTTAGATAAATTCTACTAATTTATATAATTTATTTAAAAAAATCACTATCAAATTCTATTAGATAGCTGATGAGAAAACTTGTCTAAAACAATTAAGAAAATTCTATTTTGATACTTACGTACGTAAAATATCATGTGATATCTGGTAAGTGCAAAAATCACGTGATTGGTAAGTGTCCAGAGACTTTTCCACAAAATTTCTACTATCACGTGGCAATAATCGATTTGGTGTAATGTTATACAATCAGAGAACTTCAAAACAAACATTCGTTTTGTCAAAATTACTTATATCTCAAAATCTGTATAGAAAACCACCTCCTGTGCATTAACAAAAAAATTTTATTGACCGATTTTACTGTTAGAACCTTAACTCTAACACTAAAATAGGCCCTAACCTTAACATAAACAAACTTAAAGTATTTTGGTGCTATTACGTGATGGTAAAAATTTTGTTGGCACTTCTAGAGAAGATTCATGTGCACTTGTCATATAATACAATAATAGTGATCGATATAAGTATCACGAAACATAGTTCGAATACTAATATATACTGCAAAAATTAACTATAATCTCTAATTGCTAATACAAAAAAAAAACTATATTGGTGCTCACTTTGACCCTAAACCTTTAACAAAGAAATATTTAAAATTCACATGTATTATTAAGTATATACGTACGTACATATATATCCAAACTTGTACCATTATACTATATACGGTATTATATACTGTAGCATAGTACTAGCACCTAATATGCATTTAAACAATTCTAAATCAAATACGTAGATAAATCTGAACATAACAATTTCGCTATTTTAAGATCTTCACGCTATATTACATCATCAAACAATTCATTTAATGCATTCTTACTATCAATATTCCACGCTATATTACAACTATCATGCAATAAGCAAAATAAGCAAACATTACCCAAACTAATTCTATCTTTTAATAAAGACAACTATTAGTACATATAATCGATATACAAAAGCACAATTGATGATATGCAAACAACTATTAGTACATACAATTGATATACAAAAGCATAATTGATGATATACAAACATATAAACCTTCAATCTTATAAATGACTTATATGCGCAATACATGCAATAATCACATCTCTATGTCCTCACAATCCCATATATTTACTCTTTCTCTTTATGTGGACAAGTTGCAATATTATGGCCTGGTTTTTTACAAATCTACAAGTATATTGCTCGTGTTTCTTACTACTTTTTTCTTGTATAGTCACCATATTTTTATTATGACTTGCTGACTTTGGGCTTCCTTTAGTAATCACTTTTCAAAGATTCGCAATTGATATCATATTACCTTCTACATTTTTACTAGAATCTTGGTCTGTTGTGGCTTCTTGTTTCTCGGCCAATTCATCTTCTCTAACACAAATCTTTTCTAAATAGGCTTTAATTAAGCCAACAAATTTATAATCACAATACAACATACACTTATTAATAGCAGTACGAGCGAGACCCCAAATTTTTCTATAAAAAAGAACTTCATTGACAAACTCTTCATTTATAGGGTCACCAGTTTCATTACTAGCAAATGGTTGCAACCACACAAATTGATACTCACTAATTTCTTAAACGATATTCTCATCATTAGCTAATTTATTAAATCGTTGACTGAAGTATGAACATTCTTTCACTGCATCTAGCCGTCTGTTTCTCAGGATCTATCATGCTGCTATTAATATCAAACTAAATTGTACCTTCACTGTAACATTCAATAGATAATAAAAATGACGACAAACAAGGTCTTTTCTTTGTTACAAAAGACAAGTACAACTATATGAACCATCTGCAAGAAGAAAAACAAAATAATTAACCTTATGACTCGTAACTCTTGACACTTTCCAGACCTCCTTAATTGTATTCTGTTCTAAATGATCTAAAAGATACTTTGCAGAAAGATAAACTACATCAAACTCATTATCTATATCTTTACTTTGAGAAGATTCATAACCCATAAGTGATTCCACTTCTTCAATTGTAGAATGACTCACAGTATAATATAAACTTTCTTTATTTGCTCTATTAAAAAATGTAAAACATTTGGCCTCAAATAGCATTTTACTAAAGATTCTATAGGGGAAAAAATGGTAACAACACTTGTTATAGAAGAAATACTCTGTCTCCATTCTTCAAATTGCTTTCGCTTTTGTTCTTCCTTACTTCTTTCCATCAATACTTTACCTAGATAATACAATGATGTATTACTATTCTCCAACACT